TAGGATTACCTTGTAGGTTTTGTTCATTTCTGAATATTTGAACTACTAACAAACTTCTCCTTTTCTCTTTTCATGAACATGAAGCATGGATGGCAAGCAAAGGTTGGAGAGATTGCTTGAGGATGAAGACTTAGGATTTCTCTTTTAAACAAATTTTGTAATTTATTGCATTGGTAGATATTTCTTCTGTAAAGTTCAAATTTTGTAATGTAATAAATACAGTACTTCTGAATAATATTGTACCAATTTCAATTTTAAATCTTCTTATTTGTATGTTTTGAGTAAGAACCCTCATTCTAGGTAACTTGTATTTCAAGTAATCACCAAAGATGATTAAATAAAACAAAACTCTTTGCACTCTAATCAAACCTTCAAAACAAAAAATGAAAGTTTGAGAATTGCATTTGATTAACTTAGCCTCCAAGGCTTATGATCAAAAAGTCTTAACCTTCAATTCCTGTTCAAAATCTAAATTGTTAATCAAAATGAGTCTGCATGTCATTCTTGATTCAAACATGTTTTAAGAACAATCGTCAGTCTGGTAGAATTAACAAACTTCAGCGAATTGTGTTTAAGAATATTTGAAATTTTGAAGACTCAATTATCCTTGATAAATCCCAAACCCTAATTATTGATTTGTCGTCTTAGGAAGAGAATCTGTCTGATCGACCCTCAAGCTAATTGGGTGTATAAGAAATCCTAGGATAGCATTTTGTATAAAAATTTAGAGGGCAAATTTTGGGGTACAACAGCTGCCTCTGTTCAATTTTCTTGCACTTTGAAAAGCGAAATTGGCGTGCTTGTTGTTTGTAGTTTGAAAGTGGAAGATGATTGAACACTAGAGTGCCTGAAAATTTGCACTTGTTGGTGTACGAAGTAATGCCTTGAATCTATTGTATCGGGAATTGGCTTAAAGATGCCATTGAAAATGAGAATCATACATTTTCGGTGTTTTTAACAGATTGGCTCATCATGAGACTACTCTCTTTGAGTTGTTTTACCAACACCACCATCTCATCTGTCAAATCATCTTGAAGCTTTCTGAGTAAAAATTTCAACAAAGTACAAGCATTAAGAGAGCAAACACAAATGGCAATTACAATTGGCTATCTAATAAACTTTTGCATATAATTTAATAGCAACTATGAGAGTATGGGTATAAACAAACTTCAAATGTACTTATACTTTTCAATATGTGCATGTCATGTGGCATCCAATTTAACAGATGATAAGTGATCGGTCTCAGCAGGCTCGTATGCTCTATCATCAGTACTTAAGGCAGCTCTGTCCAATGAATCAGATGAGTAATGGCAAAACAGCCTACAAAATACAAGCAACGGTAAAAGAAGGTTAACATTAACTTACACATGCCTTCTTCATTAAATTTATGCAGTCTGCGCTGCGCACCTACAAGTTAAGTAAAATGTTTTTATTTTAGAATGTATTTGAAACTCATATATTGCAAAAGAAATAATAAATACTAACTTAAAACAACTTTTTTGGCTGAAAAGGGCATGGCTGGCTATTGAATTTTTTTGTTACTAATACTACACTTGCAGCAAAGCTTTAATAGGGGATAATGTTGAAAATATTAAACTTGATTTGAGCTTAAATTAATTAATTGGTTTTTGGACTTAGTTATTTTAGGCTTAAGTAGTTTTCTAGAGAATTCTTGTAATATTTGGAATCTCTAGATATTTCTTATAATTGTAATATTTTCTAGAATAATCTTTGGATCTCTAGAGTTGAGAACTCTTTAGAATTAGTGTGTCTAGAGTTCTCCTTAGAATACTATAAATAGAGATGTAATTCCACAATTTGTATCAACCAAAAATACAAAGTTCTTCTCCTCCATAAAGAATTATCCTACTTATCAAATTTATATTTAAAACTTCAATATTCCCACACACTTCTCCTTAACATAAAAGGTCTTATTTCCAATAAAATGGTATCAGAGCTTCAAGATCCACAAAATGGCGAATGGTGGTTTCCCTTTCCAAACGTCGATGCTCACAAAGAACAACTATGATAATTGGAGTATCAAGATGAAGGCGCTACTAGGAACTCAAGATGTGTGGGATATTGTTGAGAAAGGCTTCAAAGATCAAGATGAATCCTCGCTAATCCAAGGTGCAAGAGAGACATTGAAGGAGTCAAGAAAGAGAGACAAGAAAGCTCTCTTTCTCATTTATCAATCGGTGGATGAAGATACTTTTGAGAAGATATCCAACGCCACAACGACCAAAGAAGCATTGGATAAGCTTCAAACTTGCAACAAAGGAGTTGAGCAGGTAAAAAAGATTCGTCTTCAAACTCTTAGAGATGACTTTGAACGTTTATTTATGGAGGAGTCTGAGTCAATTTCAGATTATTTTTCTCGAGTATTGGTTGTAGTCAATCAACTTAAGAGAAATGGTGAAGATGTTGATGATGTGAAAGTCATGGAGAAAATACTTCACACTTTAAATCCAAGTTTTGACTTCATTGTTACCAACATTGAAGAAATAAGGATCTAAAGACCATGACTATTGAGCAACTCATGGGTTCCTTACAAGCATACGAAGAAAAACAAAAGAGAAAAATTAAACAAAAGGAGGCTATGGAGCAATTACTACAACTCAACATAAAGGAAGCAAACTATGCGAATTACAAGAGCCAAAGAGGACGAGGTCGTGGCCAATATCGTGGATGTGGACGAGGACATGAAGGAGAAGGAAGAGGCAGTTGCAATAACTACTCCAACAACTTCAACAATGGAGAAAGAAGTTGGAATCCACAAGCAACAAGAGGTCGTGGAAGAGGAACCTCATGGTCGAGGAGCAATAAATCACAAGTAGAATGTTTCAACTGCAACAAGATTGGTCATTACGCAACCGAGTGTAGATTCTCGAAGAAGGTGGAAGAGAAAACTAATTTTGTAGAAGAAAAAGGTGGAGAATAAGAAACTTTGCTACTCGCATGTCAAAATGAAGTTAAAGAGAAAAGAAATAAGTGGTACTTGGACACTGGCGCAAGCAACCACATGTGTGGCGATCGAAGCATGTTCGAAGAGTTCACGAAATACATGTCAAATGAAATTGAGATGACATATATGAGGTTCATGGCATATTATCTTGGCATCGAAATAAAGCAAGAAGACAAAGTAATTTTCATCACCCAAGAAGGCTATGCCAAAGAAGTCATTAAGAAGTTCAAGATGAATTATGCCAATCCAGTTGGCACCCCGATGGAATGTGGTAGCAAGTTAAACAAGCATGAAAACAGGGAGAATGTGGATCTAACTCTTTACAAAAGTTTGATTGGAAGTCTACGTTACTTAACAAGTACAAGGCCAGATATTCTCTATGTTGTAGGAGTTGTAAGCCGATACATGGAAGCTCCAACAACAACTCACTTCAAGGCGGCAAAGAGAATCCTTAGATACATTAAAGGTACAACTAACTTTGGCTTGCACTATTACTCTTCTAATAATTATGAGATTGTTGGCTATAGTGATAGCGATTGGAGTGAAGACTTGGATGATAGGAAGAGCACTAATGGTTATGTGTTCTTTATAGGAGATATTGCTTTCACTTGGATGTCAAAGAAGCAACCAATAGTCACACTATCGACGTGTGAAGCGAGTATGTCGCCGCCACATTATGCGTTTGTCATGCAATTTGACTAAGGAACTTGTTGAAAGAGTTAAAAATGTCACAAGAAGATCCAATGGAAATATGTGTTGATAATAAATCAGCAATTGCTTTGGCAAAGAATCCAGTCTTTCATGAAAGAAGTAAGCACATCGACACCCGTTACCATTTCATCATAAGAGAATGCATTGAGAAAAAAGAGGTGAAGATGAAGTATGTAATATCTCAAGATCAAGCTGCCGACATTTTCACCAAGCCACTAAAGTTGAAAACTTTCGTGAAGCTAAGAAGTATGCTTGGAGTCACAAATCAAGTTTAAGGGGGGATGTTGAAAATATTAAACTTGATTTGGGCCTAAATTTATTAATTAGTTTTTGGACTTAGTTATATTGGGTTTAAGTAGTTTTCTAGAGAATTCTTGTAATATTTGGAATCTTTAGATATTTCTTATAATTGTAATATTTTTTAGAATAGTCTTTGGATCTCTAGAGTTGAGAACTCTTTAGAATTAGTGTGTCTAGAGTTCTCCTTAGAGTATTATAAATAGAGATGTAATCCCACAATTTATATCAAGCAAAAATATAAAGTTCTTCTCCTCCATAAAGAATTATCCTACTTATCAAATTTATATCCAAACCTTCAATATTCCCACACACTTCTACTTAACATAAAATGTCTTATTTCCAACAGATAAAACAATCATGCTGTGAAATGGTTCTGGTCTTGATGATAGGGGAAGAAGATGAAGGGGATAAATAATTGAAATTTACAGTGTTGTTTTGTAATCGTATCTGGAAAGGATGACAGGGTTTAGCCGATTTTATGTAGAAAGAAAATGGTAAAAATCAAAGAGACTATCCACGTGGCTTGCAATTAGAATATAAGGACAAAATAGACTTTTTGGGTAGAATCACTTTTATATAATTATAAAATTGATTGTTTTTATTAAAAATAATAATGATTTTGTTTAAAACTTTTAGTGAGATAGTATATATTAAATACACCATAGGAAGAATTAAAGAAATAAACGGCAGAGGTAGAGTAATATTAAACTATATGGTTTGGTGGTTCATTGAAGGTCAATTAATATGGCTAAAACTAAAACCATTGACTGAAGTTTGAGAGGGAAGACAAAGAGAACCACCCCAACGTGTGAAACAAAAAGGCCTTCTTTTATGGCCCACCTAAGGAAAATTAAAACCCTCTTCGAAAACAACATCAACGGGAATTCCTCTAACTCTTCATCTTCTTGTCTTGGGAACTAAACAATCTTCTCTTTCTCTCTTTTTCTTCACTCTAATAACTCTTTGTTTTTCTTTATAAACTCAAACATTGTGATACCCTTGTGTTCTCATCAAAGCATTGAGGTCATGGACAAGAAGAGCAAGAAGAATAACAAGTACATGTTAGATTTTGCAAAGAATCATTTTCATTTGTTTGATGATGTTTGTTTGTGACTTTGTTGGTACGAGGTATGGTTTTGCGTACTAGGACGATCTCAGTTGTGGTGAAGAATTCTTCACTACCGGCGTACATGGGAAAGCCAGGCTTTTTTTTCTTTCTTTCATTTTCATGTTGTTATTTAATTTTTATTATATACTTTAGTATATTTTATTTGCAATTTTCTCTTCTTATATAGTATTATATTGGTTTCATTGTATGAGCTTAGAGATTGGAAAGAATAGTTATATAAGACTTTTGTAATTGGTTTTTACTAGTTCAAAGATCAACATATTAAAATATTGAAATAAAATTTGTGGCTGGTTTTCCTAGTCCCTCTTCATTTGCTTTAGATTGCTCTCAACTATTTTTTTTGTCTGTGTAACAAATTATTACTTTATGTATATGCCTTTATGAATGATTTTTCTTTTTCAGTTTTGAATTATGAGAATGGTAATAGGTTAATTTTTTTTTGTTTAATCAATTGTTGTTGTTTTAGATATATTAAAAAAATGATGATTATTAAGAGAATAATGTTGGGACCCATTTGCAAGCTGTTCAAGTTGTAAAACATTTATGTTTCTTAATTAAGGTTAACTATCGTTTTCATGATGTGTTACCTAATTTTCCTGCATTGTTTTATTGAAAGATTTAAGGCAACCCAAGTGAAATCATATGCAAAAATATGTGTTTCTTTATTTTTGATTATTCGTTTTTACTATTTTTGAAACCCACCTAATAAATAGAAATTGAAGAAATTGTGCCAGAAAATAATTTAAACCAATCATATTTCATCGTTTGTGGATGTATATAAATAATTTGTATAGCTGTTTAAAAAATCAAAGTTGCATATTAATTTATTCATTTTGAATAAAATATTAAAATAATTATGATATTGCTAGTCTAATTATCAATTGAAATGTTAAATTTATATTTCTTCTCTTACTAAATAGATAATAATTTATTCGAATTTAAAATATATTTTGCTGTGAGTTTAATGGTTATTATTATTTCCTGTATTGACAGTTTTATACTTCATCTATTTCTAAATTGTTTGATAATTGTTTATAGTTATAGTTGTAGTTATAAATTTTAAAAATGTCATATAAAAAGGGATGGTAAAACAGATTCAATCTGTCGGACTGTTAGTTGAAAATTTTGACGAGATACAACATTGAGAAAAATGCATAAATTGAAGTAAGTTTAGCTTTGGAAGAAAATATGAAGATGTTTCACATGCTCTTCGACTAACCAAAATACCAATAATTTAGTTATGATTGAAGAAGTCATGAAGGTTCTTATGTTGCGGAATACATGGAACTTAAGGAATTTATTGATTCGAAATTTAAATCATTTCGACACATCATGTTGTTTTGGTGCATGGAATTAGATAGGGGTGTTCGCGGTGCGGTTTGGGCGGTTTTGAAGCAAAAAATCATCCGAACAGCAAGAGAAAAAAACATGCGGTTCGGTTGACTTTTAAAAATAAATCCGAACCAAACCAAACCAAACTAATGCGGTTTGGATTGGTTCGGTTATTTCGGTTTTTTACAAAAATAATTATTATGTCATACATACAAATATATAGGAAAATATAATTTTATATTTAATTGTTCATACATTACCATAAAAAATTTATAATTGTCAAAATAAATTTATAATTTGATACATAAAATTGCGTATTATAATTTTATCTAAATCTAAATAATGATATCAACAAGATTACATTCTTAAATAAATATTATACAAAGAATATGATAAAATATATTTTGTGAAAATAGTATTTATAAATTAATAATATTTTATTTTTTATGATTTGTAAATTAAAATGAATATAATACAAAGTATGATAAAATATATACATAATACATGTTGATTTCTCTAAAGAATTATAGAAATATATATTGGTTAGTAAGATTTTATAACATAATGCGGTTTTGTTTGGTTTGGTTCGGTTTGTAAAATACAAACCGCAAACCGAACCGAACCATGCGGTTCCATGAGAAAATGACCCAAACACATCCGAACCAAATGCGGTTTTTTGCGGTTTTGGTTTGGTTCGGTTCGGTTTTGCGGTTTTCTATTGGGCCGGTTTGGTTTTGAACACCCCTAGAATTAGATAAGGATTTGAATTCACATGGTTTAGTTTTATCCAAAAGGATGCGTGGAAGCTTGGCGATTCGAAAAAAGCATGCAAGACTCAAACGTGATACTTTTGTAGAGAAAGACCGTTATGGTCGAATTAGTATAAATAAGGATCTTTGTATTACGATTTGGTGTGTTCACTTTGTACGAGTTACTTATATAAACTCCAAGTACCAGTGTTAGAGAAAGGAGTCATTGGGATTGTACGTATAGAAACACGATTTTTATATTCAAAGTCATTTACATTAAATCAAATCTTTTACATTTGTTTAACATTTCAGTAGTATTCCTTTACATTTCAAATTTTTACTTTAAAACTTTTTTTTACCTTTTCAAACTTTTGCCTTTTCTTTTACCTTTAATGTATTTATCTTTTCGACGTAGAACAACACTTAGAAACATTAAAACAGACACAATATTCGACACATGTCCTAGGATCAATCGAGTTGTTCCTGCGAGTAACTAGAAATTATCTTTATTTTGAAGGACTATCTGTTGTTTATCAAATTTCACGATAAAAAAATTGGCATGCCCAGTGGGACCAGTGTTGATCGTGTCACAAATATTTGTGTGTGTGTTTTATTTAGTCTTTGTTTGACATTGTTATATGAGATTAAGGAGTGGAAAATTAGCCAAAACTAACGAACTTATACCCAAGAGGAAATACACTAGGGAAATGGTTAACCCACCCAATAACAATAGAGAACAACCACCCTCTTTGATAGGGGAAAGTACAGTTGTGTTATCTGCAATCGAATTGATACTCGTTCAAGCATATACGACGAGAACATCGACAAATGCTTTCAGCCGCCCAATTCCATCCCCAGTGCATTCGCAGGGTTCCCCAGCGAACACAAGACCACCAGGAACGAATAATTTTAGACATTTTGCATTTGGATTCATAATTCCAATGGATGTCTGCTAACAAATGTATGACATGCCAACATCAATGATGGAAAGCCTAAACAATAGCATATCCATATTTTCTGACCCTAGAGTGTCAACATTTTTTCCACTACAAGGATTAGAATCAGGAACTAATAACATGGGTCGAAATGTCCCACCCCCAGGATTCGTTGCACAATTGCCTAACCTAACAATGAATTTTACACCGGTGTTTCGACAACAAATGGATGATAGAAACCATGAAATGGTTAGTGTTTTATCCCAAAAAATGGGCATAACTTTTAATCCTTTGATTTAAAGTGCTACTGAAACAAATCAACAAAAGGAACAGACGAATCAAGAATTAGCAACGCAAATGGTGTAGATTGCAAACTTCTTTGGTGCCCCCCGAGCCCCAGTTCAACATCCTTATCCAGAATGGATAAGAGAAAACCAAAGAGTGGTTTTTGAAGAAAACCAAACTGTTGTCCAAGCGCAACCAGGCGCGCATAATAAAGGCGAAGTTAACCAGGGGCAAAGAGTTGAACAACCTAGGGTCGAACAAGCCATACCAAGGGAAATCCCAGCCTAAAGGGTTGTGATGATCAACTGAAACCAGAACGCGAATGAAATCCTTCAACGCGTTCGACAAGACGAATACCTAGGGAAAAACAATCTAGTAACCATGATCAAAAGAATAATGGCTCGAAATTGGATAAATATAGGCCTCTGAAGGCCAAATTACACATCCACTTTTTATGAGTATGTTCTACAAACTGAATTACCCAGGGGTTGGAAAGTCCTAAAGTTCACAAAATTATCTGATGACACCAGTGAGTCTATTGTCGAACATATATTCAAGTACCTTACTGAGGTTAGGGACATAACAAATAATGAAAATTTAAGGATAAAATACTTCCTTAGTTCATTGACGAAAAATGCTTTCACATGGCTCACTACCCTCCCAACGAATTCTATCCATGATTGGACTCGCTTAGAAAGGTTATTCCATGAGCAGTCTTATATGGGAAAATCAAAGATTAGTATTTTACCCAAAATATTTTCCCTCCCATTTTTAAGACAAATTATTTCAACAGGTCTTCTCATGCTCCTAGGGTCCTCAATTGCTCAAGATTATTCAAGGGTTGACCAGACAAACTCTCCTCCTAAGCAATAAATCTACAACTAGGGTTTTGCTTTTCTCAAAGGAAATTGGACTTCTAATGCTTCAAGTGGGTTTCATGACTTATCATATGTCTCAAAGAATCCTTATTCAAAATTTCAAGTCTTGCAGCACAAGTTTGCTCAGTCAATTAGTCAGATGATTGAAAATTAACTATATTGGACAAAAAGTCAACTTTAACCAATTTACAATCAAACTTCAAGATTTTTGGTCAACACCAATGTTATGAGGTCACATTCATCATTTGATCAAGGTTTGATCATGATTCATCAAGAAAACTCAAGATTCATCAAAAGTCAAAAGTTACTAAATTAGGGTTTTCTTAAGGAGAAGTCAACTGAACTTTGATCAAGCATAACTTTCACATACTTCATCATAAATTCCTCAACAAAAGCCTATTTTGATGGAAATTAAATTCTATACAATTTTGTCTCTTTAAGCTCAAGCCCAAAAATGCTTCATTTGATAGATATGAACCAAAACATTACAGATTATTTTAAAAGTCAACAAAAAGACATTCTTGGTCGAAGCAATTTACATCAAGATGAAGGCTTCAAATGAAAAAATTACAAACATGAATGTTGTAGGTGATATCTTGAGCTTTCCAAATAGTCAAAGATCACCTTCATATGACAAAAATTGATAGAGTCATGATTGGTGCAAGTTGGGCAATTTTGAGAAAATGCACGAAGTCCAAATTGAGCAAATTTAAATTTTTGGGCTAATGAGCCTATCTTTTAAAGTCCAAACGTGTTCTTGACCTTATAATAGACCTCTTAATCCATTCATTTATTTTTGTGGTTTTTATTTCTTTTGATTTTGATTTTATTCAATTAAAAGCAAAATAAATCAAATAAAATACCAAATAAATGATATAAGGCATGGGAATCTATTTTTGAATCAA